TTGGCTGCACCGCGCAGGCTACCTACCACCTTCCCTCTTGTGTTTCCTCTTCTTGGAACCTTTGCAGACTGCGGAAATGCAGGACATGCACCCTATGCATTTCTGCCCTAGCTTTTGTCACAGGGGATTGAAATTGCCACTTGCAGATAGTGTCATCCATGACCTCCTTTTTTTTTTTTTTTTTTGAGACAGGATCTCACAATGTAGCCCTGGCTGTCCTGGAACTCAACTTGTAGACCAGGATTGCCTCAAACACACAGGATCTACTTGTCTCTGCCTTCCAAGAGGCATGCACCACCATGCCAGCTTGTTAAAATCTTTTTTTCCAAATAATTTTTCCTTTTCTGTTCTTCAAATACTATGATTTTCTTTTTCTGGTGTTGTGGATCAAACTCAGGGCCTTTCGTATGCTAGGTAAGCACTATCACTAAGCTACATTATCTGCCCCGTACTACAGCTGTTTTTTCTCTGAGAAAGGGTCTCACTATGTAGCTCAGGCTAGCCTTGAGCCAGTGAGTAACCTAAACTGGGCTCAAACTCTTGATCCTTCTGCCTCAGCCTTGCGTCCTGGGCCGTGTGCTATCCACCTGGCTGAATTCACTGTTTCGAGACATGCATTTCAAGTTGTTCTCGAATTTCCTTGTAGCCAAGCAGGACTTTAAACTGCCGATATTCTTCCCTCAACCTCTCAAGTGCTGGGATTACAGGCCATGTACCACAGTCCTGGTTTATGCAATGCTGGGAATCGAGCCCAAGGCCTTGGGTGTGCTAGGCAAGAAATCTGCCAACAGAGCCACACATCTCCAGTCCAAATTCAATCCTTTTCCTAAAAAGAAATTGTATTGGCAGATGGCTATGACTGAGCACATGTGGAAGTCAGTGGACACCTTGACGTAGTTGGTTCTCTCTCTCCCCTCCCCCCAGACAGGGTTTCTCTGTGTAGTTTTGGAGCCTGTCCTGGATCTTGCTCTATAGACCAGGCTGGCCTTGAACTCACAGAGATCTGCCTGGCTCTGCCTCCTGAGTGCTGCAGGGATTAAAGGCAGGCGCCACTGCTGCCCAGCTGGTTCTCTCCTTTAACCATGTGTGGTCCAGGGATTGAATTTAGGTATCAGGCTTGGTAGCAAGTACCTTTACCCACTGAGTCATCTTGTGGGCTCAATGGAATAGCTCAGGCTGGCCTCAAACTCATGATCCTTCTCTTCAGCATATCTTGCTGGTGTGTACAACCAGGCAGTGCAATTCTTAATATGGCATAAAAGATACGTCATGTTCTTCTCAACATTCTGGTTTCACCTCTTACTACTATCTCCTGCTACTTCATACATATTGGTCTTTCAGATTGTCCACTATGCCAGAAATTTCAGGTGCTGTTATTTTTTTTTTCCAAGACAGGGTTTCTCTGTGTTAACAGCTCTAGCTGTCCTGGAATTCACTCTATAGATCAGGTTGGCCTCGAACTCAGAGATCCACCTGGCTCTGCCTCCGGAGTGCTGGGATTAAAGGCGTACTCAACCACTGTTAGGCTTACTTTTTCTTTTGGAGACAGAGTATCAATGTATTATAGGCTGGTATCCTTGCTATGTAGCAAAATATGACCCTGACCTTTTTGTAGTCTAAATTTCCTGAGATTGAAACATGCCATTCTACAGGGAAGCTCCTGAGGCAGGAAGTAAACAACTCAAAATAGCTTCCAGAAGTCTCTGAAACTGACCAGATTCACTAGGCCCCTCCTTGCCCGAGTAAAAGCTGAGAGTACCCCTCAGATGTTAGCCTGAGCTGCAAAAAACTCAGGCAAGCCAAGCTGCCAAGAAGACTCTTGAGACCAGCCCAGCTTCCTGGAAGTGGTTTTGACCAACTGAGGCCAAGTAACTTAGACCCACCTGGAAAGGACACTCTCCAGTGTTGAGCTGCCTTCAGGCTGTGCTGTGTGCTTTGGTGATACAGCTGTCTGAGTCATTTCTGCTTCCCTAAGTAACCCCAATAAAATTCACTGGTTCACCAAGTTAAACTTCGGTGGTATCTTATTTGGGTCTGTCAGGGGATTCCTGTCTGGGGTGAGTAGATGTGTGTTGTATCTCCCCAGTAAAAGTTTCGTCATACACCTAAAAATTCTTTTGTGTATGGGTGTTTTGCCTACATTGTATGTATTCTGTTCACTATGTGCACGCCTGGTGCAGAGGTCAGAAGATGGCAATCGATGCCCTGGACCCTGAGTTAGAGATGGGTGCCGGGAATTGAACCAAAGCCCTCTGGAAGAGCAGCCAGTGCTCCTAATGAGCCTTCTCTTCAGGCCCTGATCTTGACCTTCCCATCATCCTGTTCCACTTCCCTGTTGGCATTACAGATGCATGCTTGTTTTCCTCCACAGAATAGCTTTGTGCTTATTCCATACTCTGCTCCATTCTTCATGTCTTCTGGTTTGAGACAGGGGCTCTAAGTATCCTAGACTGGCCTCATACTCTTGAACCTCCTGCCTCAGTCTTGAGCAATGTAAATAAGAGCAAGTGTGCCTCCCTAGTTTATTTTAGGTTATCTCCAGACAACCTCTCTTGGTCCAACTTCTCAAAATAGTCTGGGTTAGCTTCTTTCAAGTGCATCTTCCTTTGTCCTCATCTGAAAAGCACACCAAGCTCTTAGAACAGGGAACAGTCTTGAGCAGGTTTCTATGTCTAGAAAGTACTCAGAACTCAGATGATACACATAGAACACCTGAACTACAATGAAAAAAAGCACTCAGCATTCACAACTTTTATGAAACTCCACACAGTTCTCTGCTAGGAAGCAAGGTATGTGGAAGCATTGAGGGCAAGAAGCCTGGTGAAACCCAGCAATGACTACAAAGCAGCCCACTGCTATTTTAATCTAAGAAAATCTAGACACACAGTGTGAGTCATAGATAGAGGTGTGTTGTAGGGTAAAGGAGGAAGTAGTGGAGTAGAAACTGTTTGAGGGCCTTCTGGTGTGACTGCTGCTTTAAAAAGGAGCATTACATATTACGAACTTCTGTGAGCTGCAGCAGCCACCGGCTGACTCCAGTTTGTTGTGTTTTTCTCCTGGTGAATTTTACTAGTCATGCACTACATGGAAAAGAAAGTCACCTACATCACTGTGGAAGTCCTCTGCAGCCTTCACTTGGATGCAATTTATACGACAGAATACTTCTGCCAACAGGGCGGTTTCGGTTTGGATCCCTTGTGTTCCTGCAGAAGCTGTTGGAGATTACTTCATATTCGGAAGAGTAGCAGTCTCCATAGAGACCTTGTTGTTTATCTCTAGAAAAGCTGTGCCATTTCTTCATTAGGGTATAGGAGCAGTGTTCCAAATGCAGGGTGTAAAAGTGGGATTAAAAAGACAAAAGCTGGGGGGCTGGAGAGATGGCTCAGCGGTTAAGAACACTGGCTGTTCTTCCAGAGGTCCTGAGTTCAATTCCCAGCAACCACATGGTGGCTCACAACCATCTGTAAGGAGATCTGGTGCCCTCTTCTGGCCTGCAGGATACATGCAGACATTACACTGTATAATAAATAAAAATCTTTTTTTAAAAAAAAAGATTTATTTATTATGTATACACAGCATATATGACTGCAAGCCAGAAGAGGGCCCCAGATCTCATTACAGATGGTTGTGAGCCACCATGTGGTTGCTGGGAATTGAACTCAGGACCTCTGGAAGAGCAGTCAGTGCTCTTAACCTCTGAGCCATCTCTCCAGCCCAATAAATAAATCTTTTTTTTTTTTTTAAAGACAAAAGGCGAACACTAAGATCAATATTGTACTGTAGACCATACACTTTTACAGTAAGAAATGTACAATAACTTGCTTACAGCAGCTGCATAAATTAAGAATGGGTTAGAAACACTCCTTAGCAAACCAGAGACTGTAAGGCTACAGCAAAAGGCAATGTTGGATCAGTATCTCTTATATGCACAAGACAAATTGATGCTAATCACTGTTTACTTCAGGCCATAACACACCACTTAGACCCTTGGGTGACACTATCATAACTGTTATCTACTGGATCTTGCAAAGCTACGAAAAAGTGATAAAACTAGATTAATATAATATATCCCTATTAAAATTTATTTATTTATTTATTTATTTATTTATTTATTTATTTATTTATTTATTTATTTATTTATTTAAATAGAGAGGGACAAGATCTAAGTAGTCTTGGCTGTTCTGGAACTTGGTATGTAGACCAGGACAGCTTTGAATTAAAAGATTTGCCTGCTTCTGCCTCACAAGTGCTGGGGTAAGAGGAGTGTGCCGCCAAACCAGAGCATCCCAGTTACATGGCTCTTTCACCCTGCTCTACTGTCAAAGATATTATAAACATACATCTAAGAATACTACCCCCTACTATTCTTTGAGGCAAATACTCAAATTGACAAGTACCCCCAACATTTTTACAGAATTGTTGAGAAAAATAATCCAAATTTCTTTTCTGTAATTACTTTTTCTGAGACAAGGTCTCACGTAGCTCAAGATGACTTTAAACTCCTGCCCCTCCCCCATATGTCCTTTTGAGACAAGGTCTCATTATATGCTCAGGCTGGTCTTGAACTCCTTGATTCAAGTGATCTTACATCAGTCTTTTAAGTTGCTGGGTGTATGCCACTACATCTGCCTAAATTTTTGATGTGTCTTTCTCTCTCTCTTTTTTTTAAAGAAAGTTTCATTCTATAACCATGGCTACCTGGAACTATGTAGACAAATTTCAAATCTGTTGTCATCTCCCAACTCTACCTGCCAAATGCTAGGCTTACAGACATGGGCCACTACACTTGGCTAATAATGTTTTAAACCTTTGAGTTAAAATTTTACCATCACGTATTATGTATCATGTGAATATATATATTCACATCCATCTTTTCTAATTGATGGTTAAACAGACACACACTAAATCAGTATCAATGTAACAAGGACAAAGACAACTCAACTTACTATCAGGAAAAACTGTGACCGTCTATGCAGTATTTGACAAAGAAAACACTGCTATTCCACAGCTAATATTTTATTCAGATAGCAGTCTCATTACATGTAGTCCAAGAACATTCAAATAGGAACTCAAATAAATCAGATGTTAAAGATCAGTCTTCAAACATCATAGCCAACAATGCCACGTTTGCCTATGATCTCTCCGACATAAAACCACATCCACACCTCAGTGGCCACCAAACCATTCAGCACAGCTTCCTGGAAAAGAAAAAGCACAATTTTTAAGGTACTTTAAAAAACAAACAAAAAACCCAACACATATTTGAAATTATTCTCTCTCAGGATTGACAGACAATATAAGAATGTTATTCAAAACTACAGAACAGTTTTAGCCAAAGTCAGGAATTACTAATGTTTAACGTTCAACTTCTGAAAACCTTGAACTTTCAATTTTGTAAGGCAAATGGGCCTGAGCTTATAAATTCTTTCAAAGGAATTTTTAAAGACCTGAACTGACTTAACCCTTTCATTATTAGTTTATGAGACACTTTATGGGCTCTAAAACAACCCACATCCTGGAAGTGGCTCACACATTAGACAGGGCATTCATAGGAGGGCTTGTCTCTGAATAGACACTTCTGTCCATCAAAGATGGAGAAGTCTGTCTTCTTCCCTTACACCCACCCATGTACTTCATTTTTATTTACTATCATTTGCTTTAATTCTTTCCAAGTGTTCAATATCCATTTTATGTTTCTGACCCCCCCAAAGGGAAAACAAACAAACAAACAAACAAACCCACACATGGTTCTTGAAAGCATTGTTTCATTTAAACACAAACTTGTATCTAAAAACTCTAGTTGGAAAAAAATACCTTTCCATAAACAAACTGGACGCCTTTACTTCTAAGAGTGTTTCTGGAGGTCATTGCCAGGGGCCATCAGAAGTCTCCTGTCACCACTCCCCAGGTGAGGGCTCGAACCCAGCAGTTACTTGAATTGGAAATTAAAAGTCAAGTTCCAATTCTTTTTTGTTTATTTGTTTGTTTTGAGACAGGGTTTCTCTGTGTAGCTTTGTAGTCTGTCCTGGAACTTGCTCTTTAGAGCAGGCTGGCCTCAAACTCGGAGATCTGCCTGCCTCTGCCTCCCGAGTGCTGGGATTAAAGGCACGCACTACCACCACCTGGCTCCAAGTTCCAATTCTTGTGGCCTTTAGTCTATACGCAATTTGAAAACCCAGATTTTGGTATTTTTGTTCTGCCTAATAATTCTAGAGGTCTTTAGCTGAAACGGGGATAATTCCAGGACAGAAACAAAACAAACAAAAACCCAGCAAAGGCAGCATCAGACTATAATATACCAGCTAAGATTAGGAAGAAAATCACGGCTGCCAGTCAAGATGCTCACCTTTTTGTTCTAAGACCACAACTAGACCAAGACAAAGAGCTGAGTTAGTGCTATCCAGATTACAAAGTGAGAAAAAAATGTCTTTTCTTGGCAGTCAAAAGAGATTATTTCTCATTATGTTGGATTTTGCTTTATTGGAAAATATATATAGTAATCAAAAGAACCTGAAAAACCCCCAGGGAAGACATTTTCTATCACAAACATACTTTTTCATAGCCCATAGTTACCTTAACTGTAAGCTGTTTGAAGCTACCAGTTCTAGCACTTTGAATTATTTTCCTCGCACTCTGAATAGCTGCAGGGAGTTCAGCAGGGGTTGGGGGAATCAGCTCAACCTTGGCGTACCGCCAAAATGTAGCCAATCGAGGCTTCGAGTAAGTCACCGCAGCTGGAAAACAAAACAAAACAAAAACCCAGGATGAACTCACTAGAGATCGAAAGAAGCAGATGTGTGGGCTGGACACAAATATTTATTCATGTATCACATCCACTCACTGCTTGGACTGAATGTGCAGCCGGTGTGAAAAGTCAGAGCTGCTGCTCCCTGGTAACAAGAGGCTTTTAAAGACGCAGAACACCTGTGTCACAGGGACACTCAACCGACAGGAAGCTCTAAGCCGTCAATTATGCTAGGACTCACTAGTGGCCAGCTAGTACTTATTCACCTCTAAATGGCAAATCTAATTAACTCTAAAGTTACTAGTCCCTAATTGGAAAACAAAGACAAAGCAATTTATTTATTTTTCTTTGTAGAAACACCATATTTTGAAGAGGAGTCCAGAAGAGAAAGATCAGAGCTCATCACAATATTGACCACAAGTCCAGAGGGAATTATACCAGTAAGTATCCATTTTTGGTATCCTTAGCAATACGTGCTTGATTAAATCTCTCACCATGCATAGCTGCATCCCCTTTCAAAAACTGCACTATTAATGCAAATAAAACTTACATGTATTGGTAAGAGCAATTGAAACTAGACTGCACCAGGTGGTGGTGCACACCTTTGATCCCAGCACTCAGGACAGAGGCAGGCAGATCTGTGAGTTCTAGGCCAGCCAGGTCTACAAAGTGAGTTCCAGGACAGCCAAAACTACAGAGAAATAAACCAGAGAAACAAAAACAAACCAACCAAACAAAGCCCTAAAATTCCTTGATGTATTTATTCACTATTTCAAATCAATGAATTCAGAAGGAGAAATAATCACAAAATCAGCATAAGGCCTGGAGATGTAGCTCAGTGGTAGAGCACATGCAAAGCCCTGGACTGAAGCTGTGAGAGAGAGGGACACAGACACACAAACTGAGGAGAGAAAAACATGCAGAAACTGCAAGAGCAGCCGGGCATTAGTGGCGCAGGCCTTTAATCACAGTACTTGGGAGTCAGACAGGTCAATCTCTGAGTTCAAGGCCAGCCTGGTCTACAGAGTTCCAGGACAGCCAGGACTCCACAGAGAAACCCTGTCTTGAAAAACAAAACAAAACAACAAACAAACTGCAAGAGCAACAAGTGCTCTTAACTACTGAGCCATCTCTCCTGCCCCAGAAACAATTACTTATCTATACAGACTAACATAAAATACAGCATGTGTCTGAATGCTCGTGTTGGCAAGTTTTGTGTTAACTTGGCCCAAGTTAGAGTCATTTGGTAAGAAGGAACTCAACTGAGAAAATGCCCCTACTAGTTCGGCCCGTGGTGCATTTTTTTAATTGGTGATTGATGTGAAGAGAGTCCAGCTCACTCAGGAAGCTGTCACCTCTGGGCTGGTGGACCTGGGTGCTATAAAAAAAAAAAGCAGGCTGAACAAGCCACAGGGAGCAAGCCAGTAAACAGCACTCCTCAAAATCTCTCCTTCAGTTCCTGGCTCCAGGTTCCTGCCCTGATTTCCCTGGATGATGGATTTCATACTGGGAAGATGAAATAAACCCCTTCCTTCCTAATTTGCTTTTGGCCATGGTATTTTATCACAGCAAACGAAACTGTCCAATGAGAGAAATTTAAAGTGGACTCTAGTAGCAAGAAAAAAACCCAGTACCTAGATGACAATTTATAAATTCCATTGTTTAATAAAAGGAAGTAGGGCTTCTTGGAGAAATGGCCAATTCTAAGGCTGGACAGAGAAAATAAAAAGATGATTCATCATGTGGTACCAAAAATAAGGAGGCATGTTAAAGGGGGCAGAGGTGCCAACTTAAAAGATCTACAGATGGCCAAGGCTGGCACAATCTCAGCAATAAATGACACAGAGTTAGATATGAAAGCATGAAATAAATTAAAATGAGCCAGTATAATTTAGAATAGAAAAAAAGAAATGGGAAAGAAAAAGGAAAAAAAGGAAATGAAAACAAGACAGATCTTTCTCACAGAATTCCACTTGATCTATGTAGAAGCTAGACCCACCCAACACTCTAACAGAAAACCCTCCTGCTCTGGTTACTTGCTTCTAAAGATGGGTGTAGACACAAAAGACGTAAGGCTGGTCGGTCACCACCATCATGTCATAGTAAAATAACGTTCTTTTCGGGGAAGAGGTGAAGGTAGGAGGTGGACTTGCTGAGGTCCAGGAGAGGGAGGGGGAGTGGCGTGTATGTGAAAAGTACTAAAATTTGTCAAAAAAAAATAAATAAATAAAAATAAAAATAAAATAAAAACAGGCACAGAAAGTGAAATCAATAGTTTTACAGTGGAAGATCTTATTAGATCAAGAGATGGGTATGGGTTGGGCAGTGGTGTTGTATGTCTTTAATCCCAGCACTTGGGAGGCAGAGGTAGGAGGATCTGAGTTCAAGGCCAGCCTGGTCTCTGCAGCCAGTTCCAGGACAACCAGGGCTACACAGAGAAACCCTGTCCCCCCAAAAAACCCCAAAAAAGATGGATATGAATATCATGAACCTCTTAATATGTGATCAGGGTGACTCATCTGTAGTTCTTGTTCTTAAAATCCCCAATTCCAAACTAATTATCAGAGAAACCCAAATTAACCAGTTTGGGGAACACTCTTCAGGATATCTAGACAAGATACCTCAAAGTGGCCAAATCTTGAAAGATCAGACATAAGAAAGGGGACACTGGAGAGACTGACAACTAATTGTAAGATAATACCCTGGCCAGGCAGTAGTGGAGCTCGCCTTTAATCCCAGCACTCAGGAGGCAGAGACAGGTGGATCTCTGTGAGTTCAAGGCCAGCCTGGTCTACAGAGCGAGATCCAGGACAGGAAGCAGAACTACACGGAGAAACCCTGTCTCGAAAAACAAAAACAAACAAACAAAAAAAGAGAATACCCTGAGGAATGGGACCTAGAAGTGAAAGATATTAATGGAAAAACTGGTGAAACCCAAATAAAATCTTCAGCTTAGTTGAGGGGAGAAAAAACAGAAAGACTCTGACCTTCCTAAGGAGGTCTGATGATAAGGCTACATACCCTAGGGAACTGAGATTAGTATCAGTATCAAATACTTTAACATTCACACTCAATACACCAGCGTATGCTATAGAGCAAAGTCCACCTGACATTCCAACCCCACTAGGGCTCCCTCCCTTTCAGTACTTCTGGAAGAACAAATTACCTTTCAATTACTCACAACAGTGGAAAGAGTTAAGTGTTACAAGACCAAAGTTTACCTTGGTAATGTTTTTCTTTTGGGATTTTATCAATAACACCAGTTTTAAATTCCTGAATACAAGCTACCTAAATTATGCAAAAATCATACTGCTAGGAAAAAAATTCCATATGAAATATTAAATGTTGCACCTCAAACCACCCAAGTCCAAGTGTGAAGCCTTCTGGTTGTATAATGTAAAATCCTAGCAGTCTGCAACACAGCCAGATGATCATAGTGAAGGTAAAGCCGAAAACAAGAAATTCTTTGGAAAAATGAGGAAAACGGCTTACTAGCTGACTAGTTAAGTGTTCTGTCGGAGGGAATTTAGTATTTATTGAGTCTGGCACTCTAAGCTCATCACTGTTTGGCTGGTGATGAAAGGGAGGAGAAAACGAATTACTAAGCATCCAAACACAGCAAAACAAGCTCAAAAGCACTACATGTTTTTTAAAATTCGCTTTATATTCACATTTTATAACCAAATCTGAACATATAGAAATCCAGCTATTTAGAAATCTGACCTTCAACCATTTACTACAATACAGAAGAGAAAGAAATGTAAATTTCACCTTCCGCTTCAGAAATTAAACGAGTAATCTGCTACTCAGAAGAGAACTGTCCCGACAGGATATATTATTCAGGCTTGTGACTACTCAGTGTTCATCTGAGACACGGCACTCGAGCAGACTTTTCCAACAAAGCAACCCCGCGGATGCCGAGCCACCATGATAAAGACGACTGTGGACAGGCATCGCTTTCTATGCGGACCGAGGCAGGGATATCCATCCCTACGTTCCTCCTTCCCTTCGCCGGAAGCAGACCCCTCTAGGATCTGACCAAGACGGTAAGCACACACACCTTTCAGAAGAGGCCGTCCGGGTCTTTAAGAATTTCTGATGACTTTCTAGTGCTTCGCCAGACCACCCCGTGAGACCTGACGTGCGACTTTTACCGTTCCCGTCCTCCCTCCCCAGTTCTCCGGGGCACGGTAAGGGGGCCTCATGGCGTTCGCGGCGGAGTGAAACCGGGCTTCTTCACACGACCCTCCCCGCGGTCGCGGCCAGGGCCCAGCGGCGTGTGCGACCTAAGAAGCCGGGTGCAGGCCAGGAGAGGCTGCAGCCTTCCGGCTGCCTCCTGGCCGCCCTCCCGACGCCCGCGGGCCCCTCGGTGCCCACAGCACACTCCCTGCCCCTCGCGAGCCTCCCCCGGGCCGCGCTCACCGGCTACGAGCCCCGGGGCCTTCTCCGCGAAGTTACGGACGAACTTGGCCATCGTCTAGGGTGGAAGGTCCGTCTCCTCGCACCGCCGGCTGAATGTCACCCTCCGAAGGACCCGTGGCAGGCCCCCTGCCCGACTTCCAAGGTCAGGCTGTCCCTCTCTGTGCCTGCTCAAAATATATAGCTATCCCTTCCCTGTTTGTGGAACGTAGTTGGTCAGCTCATTCTGTTAGGCACAAATAAAATGCAGACATGAAAATATGAGGTGAGAGAACATGTCGAGAATAATGAGATTCCTCGGGAAACAGGCATTGCTTGGGGCAGCCATTCATGGCGGCCCGGAAGACCGTTGAGGTGAGGAAATGCGCGTGCGTCGTTGATTTTTCTTAGCTTGATCTCCACTTTTGCTTGTGGCACTTTCGTAGTTTTTTAGAGAACGTGGAAATCGAGGCTGGAGGGCATCGTAAGATGCTTGTGGGCCGATATGTTTGTTTTAGAGACATAGCAGGTCCAGGGCCGAATAGGAGCTTTAAGGGGCCATGTAGGCGTCACGTAACGCAAGTCACCAGACTCACCCAATCAACCACTTCTTTAATTGCCCTTTTATAATCCTATTTTCCTCCGCAGCCACTATTAGAATTGGAATCCAATCCCCGTTTTCCAAACAAGCCTCGTGGAGCAATGCAGACAGGAGGAAGAAAGTCACGTGTGTGTGTGTGTGTGTGTGTGTGTGTTGAGGGTGTATACGATGCCAGGCATTTGTAATCCAGTGAACGCTTTGGGTATTGTCCCCTTAGAGACCGAGATTCCTAAATGGTCATATAAGGAGTACGTATCAGAATTGTAAGATAAACTGAGAGAGGGACATAAGATTAGGCATGGTGCTGATCTGGGAAGACTTGATGTGCAAGAAAACATACAAATTCCAAAGGGTTGGAACTTTGACATGACAAAATAAAAAAAGTAGGAAAGTGGTATTTTATGAGGACAAGCCTAAGTGTTGGAAGTGAAACTGATGGGATGGTTAGGTAGAAGGACAGATTAGAAGTGGGATTAAGGAATCAAGAGCATTTTGACGAGGGAGAGACAAACTGCCTTAGATACTGATGTCAAATTAAGGCAGGAAAGATAACTTGGGTGGTGAAACCCATGTTATCTCAGCATACAGGAGCCTGAGGACTGGGAGTTTCAGGCCAGTCTGGACTACAGGGTAAGACCATTTATTTTTGGGGAAAGATAGGCAAGCAAATCATCAGTATGAACATCTGTGATATTAACTAGAAAGTTTCAAAATCTCAGAAACCAGATTGCATCAGTGAGGAAATATGGAAGAGACCGTAAGTCAGACAACTAACTCAAGGAGAATGTGGAGCTCAAGAGAAACTGAAGTCAGAGAAGGAGAATTGTCAAGAACAGGGAGACAGCGAAGAAGACAGAGGAATTAGTTTGAGAATGGTGGGGCCTTTCCTTGAATGGCGTGATGGGAGCAAAGTTTCAAAGTGAGGAATCTGGTGCATGCCACCTGAGTGTGAAAGGAGAGAAAATTTCAGGGGAGAGTCTAAATTTTAGAAACTTAAAAAAAAAAAAACACAACTATTTGTATTTTATGAGCATTAGCATTTTTTGCCTACAGGTATGTCTGTGTAAGGGTGTCACATCCCCTGGAACAGAAGTTACAGACAGTTGTGAGCTGCCATAATGGGTGCTGGAATTGAACCTGGGTCCTCTGGATGAGCAGCCAGTGCTCTCAACCACTGAGCCATCTCTCCAGTCCAATTTAAAATATCTTAAGGACACACAGAAGAGGTGCTGGGCAGTCCACAAGTTTGTGGTTGTAGCACTCTAAAGGCTTTGTTATTTTCACTAACAGTACCTTGCTTAGAGAAAGTGGCAAAACCCTCTAGGTTTTCAGAAGGACTTTTGAAATGTTATTAGCTTTTTCTTTTTGTGGTGGTGGTCCTGGGAAGGAATTTAGCAATGTGTATGCTAGGCAAGCTCTCTATCATTGAGCTACATCCCTTTTAAATTTTAGTTTGAGCCAGGCAGTGGTGGAACACCCCACGCAGATCTCTGTGAGTTTGAAACCAGCCTGGTCTACAGAGCGAGTTCCAGGACAGCCAGGGCTACACAGAGAAACCCTGTCTCTAAAAACCAAAAGAAAAAGAAAATTAAGTTGGGCTAGTCTTGAACTCACTAGGTAGCCCTAGCAGGCCTTGCCCTTCCTTCCTCCTATTGGCTAGTAGCTGGGATTACAGGCACAGCACACCACCACACCAGGCCGCTAGCTTTTAATACTGTAATAAAGGACTAACAGAGTGGTAAGTCAGGTGCTCATTTATTAATTACAAGTTTTGAACAAACAACATCCCCAGGCAAGTTTGACAAGAAGTAACCTTCCTGGAATGTTAAACATAGTTCTATTGATCGAGTTTGATTTCAGCCAACCATTCTGTTGTTTTGTTCTTCATTTTCTGTCTCTAGGTTCTTTTCCAGTTTAGCAGTTAGGACACGTGCACTGTTTCCTCACATGACAATGGTACAGCATCAGCCTGGCTTGTAAAGGTACCCAGTAGTCTTAGGCTTTGCCCAATCACTGCTCAGCAATCGGAACCAAAACAATGTAATGAAACTTGTGTAGAGTGTGGTACTGAACAGCAAATGGCATCTTCACCTACACCATTAGACTACTTCTCAAGTTTCCTTCAGTTTTCACATACCCACGGAAAGCCATGTTAAATACACAAACAAACAACTGCTTGAACCCAAGTTTAGCATTAGCCTTTGGGTGAGCTATGAGCAATGCCAGAGCTGACTGAAGTCTTTACTTCCCTTTCGTACTCCAGCAAAGTCATCACAGAAAACTAGGTCTGTCAGGAGATCTTAGCAGATTGACAGCTGCTGCTGAGTTCCAGACAGGCCCCCTTACCTCTGCTAATGCACACATGCTTCTTGTTGTAGAAGACAGCAGTCTCCAGAGTTCCTTTTTCTGGATGTCTTTGAATTAGTTCGCAGAAAGAAAGAAGGCACCGAGCACACTTGGTCTCCTCCCCAACAGTGGCCTGAAGCTACACACTTGCTTTGGTGGTGGAAGGGCTGGGCAGCATCCATGGTGCACAGCCGTCCAGAGACAGGATCAGGAGAGCTTCAAACAGAACAGCACAAACTCGCCAAAAAAGGCTTACAAGCTGCAGGTTCCGTTCAGAAGTAGAGTACAGATAGACAGGAGAGGCAGCCATTAGCTAGAAAGCTGCTAGGAACAGTTGTCTTCTGAGGTTCTGTACCCATTTTCCTCCAGTTTTCACCTGCAAAACTGGTCTTTCCTCCTTTTCAAATAAAAACACCCTACCACACTAGCTTTGGGAAAAATAAATGCAGTTGGTAGAAGCTTAGTTCAAATGCAGTTCATTCCCAAAGAGGGAAAGAGGAGAATTAATACACACAGGAAATCAAGTTCATTTAAAGAAAAGCAATCCTGTCAGCTGGGCACATGGTGTCTATCTTAACAATCTGGCATTTGTGAGTGTGTCCTGGGCTTCCCTGTTCACAGACAAGCACAGCAACGGCTGACATTTGTTTAACAGCCAGAGTGAGAGGTCCTCTCTGATCAGAGGCTTTCTAGTTGACACCATCAGAAAATACACAAAGGACTACTTATAGCAACTTGTGTTGGAATACTGAAACACTGCTTCTGTCTATGAAAGGCTGTGGCTAACAGTAATATTCTTTAAAGGAAGCCACAATTCCATTTTCTTGTCTTTTACACCTCTGGGCTGAGATTGATACTGATGTGCCCAGAGCTAGGTGGATATTTAAAATGGTTTGTGGGCCAGATTTTGCTTCAGTCTCTACTTTGTGAATTGATAAACTAAGGCTAGATTAGAAGCGGCTCTCAGGAGCCATGTCACAGCCCAAACATTAGCTACATACATTTTATAGTCTTACCATTTTACCCAACAAGAATGAATATGCGAGAAGACATTGCCACATACCACATACATATACCACGGAGGACACAATATAATGTGGTACTCAATTCATATGAGACCAATAAAAACAGGACACAGTATCTGTGTGTATAACACACACACTAAGATACACTGCATTGGTGTCCTAAAATAACATCTCCATAGATACACTATTCATTTATTGCCTCTTTTACCCAGGCCTAGTCCTTGGGGCACAAAATAGAAAAGGGCACCAACAGCCTCTTACTTATTCTCTTACTGGAAGTTTCACCCATTACTGTCACCCATGAAAAGACTGTGCAGCTAAGCTGCTGGTGGTGACAACCTCGTGGGAGTGTCTGTGATAGTATCTTTAAGTTACAAGATAATACAAAATTAAGAGATAACCGACAGAAGTTGTATAAGGTTCCCCCCAATCTTATCCATCAGCCAAAAGTCTACACACACGAAGGTATTTGCATTTATCTGAAAAGTTGCTCTGTAACATTACAGAGCTATACTAAGGACAGGGCTTAAGTCCAGCCCTCGACGGCTAGAAGATACACAGGGAACAGGGTTTCTGGATACTACCGGCTGTCACTGAAGTAGCTGACATCACAGACTTAAAAGCAGTGTTCACAAAAACATGTCTGAACGGTACTTGGGAAGGGAAAGAATAAAGTGGCAGGACACTTTTGTAGTTGGACTTAATATAATTTAGGGTAGAAAAGGAAACAAGAGGAATAGGAAAACCAAGGCTGAAAATTAGTGAAGATTTATGAAGATGCTGTGAGAAGGAGAATTTAATGAAAGCCCAGGAGACAACATGGTCTTAAGAATCTTAATTATCATAATTTGCACAAGAACAATTTTCTAATTTAGTAAAACAACAACAATGAATGAAATAAACCAAAACACAAAAACAAAGAGAGGAAGAAAGGAAGGGAGGGAGGGA